CGAACGTGGACTGGGTCCGCATGGCAGCGCGGGGACCCCTCCCCCCAAGTCCCGGCCACCGGAAGCCCCGGGCGGCCACATGGGCGGGAGTCGGCAACCCTCAGCGCGGGGAGACCGGGTCCTCGTGGGCCCCTAAGGGCGCTTGGGAATTGGAGGAGTGGGAGAAGCCGGAGGCCCGGACCGCGATCACCGAGAGCGCCCACTGCGGGCATATGTTAGCGCGCTCCCACCTCGTGGGCCCCGGGAGCGCTCCCCCAAACCTCAGGTGAAGTGAGGGGGGCCAGCCAGGTGTAAGTGACACTGGTCCTCGCTAGGAAGTTAGAGAAATGGAGAAAACGAGGGCGATTGGACGGGAGCCCAATTCAGTGGTGCTGACAGCGCCTTAAAGTCCGGGGCCGATGAGTTCCCCGCTGTTCTAGGTGCTCAGAGCCTTGTCACCGTCTCCCTCGATGTGTGTGTTTTGGGAGTTCTGGCTTTAGTCTTAATTCTACTAACCTAGTATAAGTTATACTACTAATTACTACCAGTCTTTTGCTTTCGTTTTATTGTCATTCACCACTCCCCACTCCCTCACTTTCTACTGACTTACAGGCCCCGTCTGAAAAGCCGACAGGACCGAAGCATCTTGGGAAAAGTGGGAGGGCCCTCGAGGAGACGCTGGGTTCCTGGGTTCCCTTTGGGAAACAAGATTGAGGTGTTTGGCAGGGGGATCAGTTAGAAAACAACTTTACTTTCTCCCCCTTGGCTGCATCGACGAATGCCTGTTGGAGAGGCGGGAATCCCCCAAAGAGCCCTGTGGTTTCCTGTACCAATGACTAGCTTGTGTGTGGACAGGGTGGGGGGGGTGTAACAGAGACGGGTGGGGCCCTGCCCTCCGGTATCCACCCGCCCTTCTCCCCTCAGAATTAGCCCCGCCCTTTGGCTGGCTCATAGCTGCTCACCTAATTATAGCCCTGGTTATGTGTGGGCTAAAGGGGTAGTTGGTTTCAGTGGCAAGTAACACCTGAGTCCTCGTCCTCCCCAGGGATTAGGTCTTTGCCCATCTCAGATTTGACATCCTAATGCCCCCAAACTTCTTTTCCCAAGTCCCCTTTAACTTTCAGTTGGGGTGGGGATCCAGCTTATTCTCCCCAACAGGAGTTCTTGAGTATTTGTGATTCCAATCAGTATTTAATCTAGGAATTTGTATTTTATTTTAAGTGGGTAATGGAATAAACATCTGGAATGAAAATGAAGCAGTTTCTAGAGAGTGGGATAAATTGGAGACACTGTTAGCCTCCATCCGTGCTGACCCCAGTTTTTTTCTTGACTAGTTGGAATCGAAGCCTCTTAAAATGGCAGATGATTTGGACTTCGAGACAGGAGATGCAGGGGCCTCGGCCACCTTCCCAATGCAGTGCTCAGCATTACGTAAGAATGGCTTTGTGGTGCTCAAAGGACGGCCATGTAAGATTGTGGAGATGTCCACCTCCAAGACTGGCAAGCACGGCCATGCCAAGGTTAGAATTCCACCTCTTCACATCTTGCCTTCCCCACATTTCCCATGCTCATGGGGCTCCTGGCAGCAAGCTATCAGTAGTCCTAGCCTTCTGTTTACTCTTTTCCTTTTTATTATCCAATTTGTTCAGCACTCAGCCCTGGTACTGCTCTTTCTACACTTGCTACCAGCCTTGAGCCTCTTCCACCATCATTCTGTGATAACTCCCTCTATCTCTAACTTCTCTTGGTGGTCCTTTATGCTCTGGCTATTTAGCTGCTCCATCCTTATTCATGGCTTTCACTTTTTCTGTCAGTCTTTCTTTGCTGGAATCTCTATAGGTGCTCTTTATTCCTATCACTTTGCCCAGGGTTTCTTCAATCCTAATGAACTGTAGCCTTCCCTGAAGGGGGCCAGGGTAGCTGCCCCCTCTCCTTGAGTTAATAGAGCCTCCTTGCCCATTGGGTCCTAACATTCTTGCCCAGTGCTTTCCTTGGCACTTCAGACTTATTTTTTCCTCAAAAGCTCAATCCTGTCTTCTGTTGACTTGGCATTAATCCTGGGTTACCCCCTGATGTCCTAGATTCTTCTGTTTCATGTTTTTCTTATTTCCTAATTGCTTTGTTCTTTCTGATTTCCCCCAAGTAATTTTTTTCTTTTCAGCTCTCTTCCTTTCTCAGTCC